AGGAGTTATTTTGCCTTGTAAGGATACCTGTTATGTTACCTGTTATTTGTATGGGTAATAGCCAATTTGGATAGTTTCCTTGTATTATTTTATGGATCAGTATACACGTGTCATATTTGCATTTCTCTTGTACATATATATATATGTACACACACTCATGTGTGTGTGTGCAGGAAGAACAACGAAGGGAAGTTCAGGAAAACACACGAATATGCCGAAGGCCTTTTCGCATTTACTGCTTCATCAGGGCATACATAACAAGAGAGACATAGAAGTATATATACAAGTACTGGGCGGTCAGGTCACGTTGGTGATCAGGTGAGCGACGACCTTGGCTAGTTCGTTGCTCCCCGTAGCGGTGTTGAAGTTGTTTGTTGAGTGTATGTATGCCGCTTCTACCATATTCCTTTGCCGTGGGGGCAGGCCTTGCTTAATGATGGAGGCCTGGCACCACTTAGGGAGATGGCCGTCGGTGTCGACGTGAACAACGAAGGCGCTCCTCGTGTCGTGTCGTCGGAGGACGCCGCGATGTTGGTCTATTCGTCGTTCGTGAAGTCTCTCTTCACGAACGTTCCGATTGAGGGGGCCATCGATGCTGCAAGAAGGACGCTGACAGGTATAGACGAGGATGAACTACCACTGCCGAGGGATGATTTCATCGCACTCATCCGCCTCTGCGTGGAGTTTGGCCCGCTCGAATTCCGAGGACGTGAGTACGAGCAAATCCAGGGACTTGCGATGGGCTCACCCCTTTCAGCAGTCCTCGCCCAGCTGTTCATGGAAACCCTCGAGGCTGACCACTACCGGAACATCGTGGGGAGGAACGTAGTTTGGCTCCGTTACGTAGACGACATCCTCGCTGTATTACCCACCAGAACTGACCTTCAAAACCTCCTCCACAGACTGAACGGAGTGCACCCATCGATACAGTTCACCACAGAAGAGGAGAGAAACGACACCATAATCCATAGGAGATCAGACGGTCCGGTATTCTCTGTATACAGAAAACCCACTAATAAAGATGATTTCATACTCTATTTCTCCGCCCACAGCAATAGAACCAAAGAAGGCGTGATCATTGGTTTCTTCCTCCGAGCTCTTAGAATCTGCAGCCCGGAATACTTGGAGGAAGAAATGCAACACGTCAGCAACACCTTCCAACGCCTACGTTACCCTCGCACTTTGCACGCCCACCTCCGACGCAAGGCAGAAAAGATCATGTCCAGATCAAGAGGGGACGCCACACAGAACAAAACACACAGGATCATCATCCCACACTCGCAGCTGACGCATCACCTGGAGGCCCTGTTGGGCCATATGATGAAGATAGCCACCACGTCCGGTAAAAAGATCGGAGACATCGTAAGGGAAAAGAGGTCAGACCACAACAGACCTCTCAGCCAGGTTTACAGTATTCCTTGCGGCGGCTGCGATAGAGTTTACATAAGTGAGACAGGACGTGGCCTCCACGAACGACGAATAGACCAACATCGTGGCGCCCTCCGACGACACGACACGAGGAGCGCCTTCGTTGTTCACGTCGACACCGACGGCCATCTCCCTAAGTGGTGCCAGGCCTCCATCATTAAGCAAGGCCTGCCCCCACGGCAAAGGAAGATGGTAGAAGCGGCATACTTACACTCAACAAACAACTTCAACACCGCTGCGGGGAGCCACGAACTAGCCAAGGTCGTCGCTCACCTGATCACCAACGTGACCTGACCGCCCAGTACTTTTATATATACTTCTATTCTCTTGTTATGTATGCCCTGATGAAGCAGTAAATGCGAAAAGGCCTTCGGCATATTCGTGTGTTTTCCTGAACTTCCCTTCGTTGTTCTTCCTGCAATTTGTTTGACATGAATTCCACACGTGTGTGTGTATGCATATATTATATATATATATATATATATATATATATATATATATATATATATGTGTGTGTGTGTGTGTGTGTGTGTGTGTGTGTGTGTGTGTGTGTGTGTGTGTGTACAGTGCATGTATATGCATGTATAAGAGGCTATCGAGAACCTTTGTACAATGGTTTGCAAGGGTAGTCACGTTGTTTAAAACGGCTTGATCCTTTAGAAATGAAGAGTACTACACAGTGAAGGGAACACACGAGACGAAGTCTTGGGTAAGCGCTCAGCCCGAGGTTCGCGTGGTCCGGCCAGCCAGCCCTAAGAAGCCAGATGCTAGACCTGGTCACGTTGGTTGTTGATGCACGACTGGAGGGTCTTACTTACTTTGAGATTTGCGAAGTTCCAGCTTCGCCCGGGCCTTCCATATATGGCCCGGTCTGTGTTAGCTTTTTATGGTTGTCTCGTTTTGTTCTCTGTCACTCGGTGCTTACCGTGGCGGCGGGATTGCCAGCAGGCGCTCCTGCCGCCATGATGTAGGCACACCGCATAATCTCGTTACCAGCACGGCGGCTGTTATCGGTGGTCCCTGTTATTGTGTGTGATCACAATTCTGTAAGTAATGTACCAGGGTAGCGTTCAGCTCGCCATAATGCATGCAACACCTCTCTTCACGGTCTATTGTTTCTATAATCTGCCATACACAGTAGTAACCTAGTCTGATTCAGTGGTTCATAGCCTGTGGCGTCTGAGTACCAACTGGCTGAGGGGGAGGATCTCGTTTCCTCTCTGTGTAGCTGCAGGAGGAAGGTACGAGCGGCTCTCTGTGTAGCTGCAGGAGGAAGGTACGAGCGGCGCTCTGTGTAGCTGCAGGAGGAAGGTACGAGCGGCTCTCTGTGTAGCTGCAGGAGGAAGGTACGAGCGGCTCTCTGTGTAGTTGCAGGAGGAAGGTACGAGCGGCTCTCTGTGTAGCTGCAGGAGGAAGGTACGAGCGGCTCTCTGTGTAGCTGCAGGAGGAAGGTACGAGCGGCCGCAGTACACTTTCGGCTTGGTTGTATGATCATGGGATTTAGGGGCATACCCCTGTCAATGTCGGCTAGTCTGTCAGCAAGCTCATTCCCTCTGATGCCTATGTGGTGTGTGTGTGTGTGTGTGTGTGTGTGTGTGTGTGTGTGTGCAATATATATACATATAAATATTTATGCTCGTATATATATGAATATATACATATCAGTATACATATATATATAGATATATATACATATCAGTATACATATATATATAGATATATATACATATCAGTATACATATATATATAGATATATATATATATATATATATATATATATATATATATATATATATATATATATATATATATATATATATATATATATATATATATATATATATATATATATATATATATATATATATATATATATATATATATATATATATATATATATATATATATATATATATATATATATATATATATATATATATATATATATATATATATATATATATATATATATATATATATATATATATATATATATATATATATATATATATATATATATATATATATATATATATATATATATATATATATATATATATATATATATATATATATATATATATATATATATATATATATATATATATATATATATATATATATATATATATATATATATATATATATATATATATATATATATATATATATATATATATATATATATATATATATATATATATATATATATATATATATATATATATATATATATATATATATATATATATATATATATATATATATATATATATATATATATATATATATATATATATATATATATATATATATATATATATATATATATATATATATATATATATATATATATATATATATATATATATATATATATATATATATATATATATATATATATATATATATATATATATATATATATATATATATATATATATATATATATATATATATATATATATATATATATATATATATATATATATATATATATATATATATATATATATATATATATATATATATATATATATATATATATATATATATATATATATATATATATATATATATATATATATATATATATATATATATATATATATATATATATATATATATATATATATATATATATATATATATATATATATATATATATATATATATATATATATATATATATATATATATATATATATATATATATATATATATATATATATATATATATATATATATATATATATATATATATATATATATATATATATATATATATATATATATATATATATATATATATATATATATATATATATATATATATATATATATATATATATATATATATATATATATATATATATATATATATATATATATATATATATATATATATATATATATATATATATATATATATATATATATATATATATATATATATATATATATATATATATATATATATATATATATATATATATATATATATATATATATATATATATATATATATATATATATATATATATATATATATATATATATATATATATATATTCTTCTACCCTGAGCAAGAATTATCTGAGCTATGGTAAGCACAATGGTCAGGAGGTAGATGTCTTTGGGTGAGCTGTGCTGAAGACAGTCAATAGCTGCTCTGGAGTCTGTATGTATGACCACGTGTCCTTCCCTCAGGGATGCGTGGGCTAGGGCTCCCATGATTGTAACTACCTCTGCCTGTTGCGAGGAGGCGTTGTCTGTTATCCTCATGGATTTTGTGGCATCCTTTGCTGCAAAGCCGGCGCCTGCAGTGTGACTCAAGGGATCGACTGATCCATCCGTGAAGTATGTTCTACTACCCGGCGGCGTGGGGTATTGATTCTTTCTCATTGACAGGCTCATAATAGAGAACTCTATTAAGGTTTGTGCCCAGGGCGGGGCTTCGATAAAGTTAGGGTGGGGGGAGTTCATGCCCTTAGCAAAAAGCTGTTCTTTGAGCTGATAGCGCATTAACACCCTGGCTGTGTGAGACAGCCAGTTGTTTGCAAAGAGCTCGTTGTATTGTTCTAGACGTCTGACTATTTTTTGTCTTAGGCTTGTGTTCTTGGAGCCTGGATGACCTTTGACAAGAATTGTGCTGCCATTAGATCGATTCGTGAGTCCAGGGAGAGAAGGTTGGCCTCCATCAGGAGGTTGAGGGCCTTCGTCCACCTCGGGGCACCCAGAATGACCCTGGCAGCTTCATTTTGGACTGTCTCCAAATTGGCTTTGTATTTTTTCTTTATAGCAATCAGAGCAACTGAGGCATAGTCCACAATGGGCCGGACTGCATGTACACAGAATGATCTTAGTACTTTGTGTTTGGCTCCACTGGGGGGTCAGACAAGATCAGATATATTCACCATCTGAGTCCTCGCTGAGGCGTTGGTTCTTTATTGGACTTCGAGCCACGTGGCAAACAGCCACGTGGTCTATGTCTAATGGCTTACACAAATCGAGCTTATGGTATAGATGGTATATGATATAGTGTGTGTGTGTGTGTGTGTGCAATATATATACATATAAATATTTATGCTCGTATATATATGAATATATACATATCAGTATACATATATATATAGATATATATACATATCAGTATACATATATATATAGATATATATACATACATATATATATATATATATATATATATATATATATATATATATATATACATACATATATGTATATGCATATACTCGTGTGTATGTATGCATATATATATATATATATATATATATATATATATATATATAGAGAGAGAGAGAGAGAGAGAGAGAGAGAGAGAGAGAGAGAGAGAGAGAGAGAGAGATACACACTCATGTATGTACATAAATACATATATATAGATAGATAGACAACAATACAGGTGTAGATATAGGTTAATTGATGTATAACCTCCTTGTCTTTCATCCACTTTTGGACAGACGTCTATAAATCCTCTTCGATATCCCGCCAGTGAATTCCCATTTCCGGATTTGGTGTGTGTGTGGAAAGTCATCACGTTTCATCTTCACATTACATGGAAAAGGGTACAATGCGAATGAATGATTCCAAAGCATAAGATATATAACTGACGCTTCAATTTTCACTTCATCAGAATTATATATGTATATAGATATCAGGCACTGCCATCGCTCCTTCAGTCCGCGAGCTCGTCCCTAACGTGCATTGCAGCCTCCTTGATCAACTGTCAAGCAAATGAAAATGCTCAGCTCTCCATTGTGCAAGTGAGTACAGGTCTTTTCTGTAGCATTTCCGAAACTCCTAATACCCTATGTGCACATCATTGGAACCTGTTGAAACATCTTTTCGGTTTGTATCAGTTTGTATCCCTCTACCTTGACACCATACACCCCGGCCAGCCAATCAGAGCACGATTTCCCTTGACATATAACACTTCAGCCTCAGGTAGGGATTTATATTTTCATGTCGGCCACATAAAAAAATTGGTAAGAACGTGGTAAAAATTTGCAGCGTTTTCGAGTCATTATCTCCGGCAGGATGAATATCTCCTAAATCCTTTAGTATCTGTATGATTCTTCGTTTTGTGATCTTTGAATCCCTAGTCCCTTCGTGTATTGCCGAAACTCGCCTGATATGTTCAAATAATTATCAGTCTATAGATATATAGATATATAGATACATATATGGTTACATGTGCGCACACACACAGACGTATATAATATGGATGTGCCTGTGTTTATATGTGTAGCTACACGAGCGTTCTCCCCTTGCTACTTTCTAAACGTTACCTTGCTTCCACAGGACCTTCAATTCCAATCGGAACCTAAAGATAGTTTCGCGTGACAGAGCCCAGCGCGAACCACAACGGAATGGCGCTCTTGCACAAGGTCATGCTGGCGACTGCGCTCAGCATGGCCTTCGGGGCAACAGAACGAACAGATACCGTGGAGCCACAGCAGCCTGGGGGGTGCCAGGCACTGCCATCGCTCCTTCAGTCCGCGGGCTCGTCCCTAACGTGCATTGCAGCCTCCTTGATCAACTTTCAAGCAAATGAAAATGCTCAGCTCTCCATTGTGCAAGTGAGTACAGGTCTTTTCTGTAGCATTTCCGAAACTCCTAACACCCTATGTGCACATCATTGGAACCTGTTGAAACATCTTTTCGGTTTGTATCAGTTTGTATCCCTCTACCTTGACACCATACACCCCGGCCAGCCAATCAGAGCACGATTTCCCTTGACATATAACACTTCAGCCTCAGGTAGGGATTTATATTTTCATGTCGGCCACATAAAAATTTTGGTAAGAACGTGGTAAAAATTTGCAGCGTTTTCGAGTCATTATCTCCGGCAGGATGAATATCTTCTAAATCCTTTAGTATCTGTATGATTCTTCGTTTTGTGATCTTTGAATCCCTAGTCCCTTCGTGTATTGCCGAAACTCGCCTGATATGTTCAAATAATTATCAGTCTATTCTATCAATAGAAAAATTATTTTTGTCAGTGAGGAAACAATAAAAAAATACACATAATGAATCCCAAAATTTACCATATCTTCCACAATAAGACAGGCCTAATATGCGTAGCCAGCAATGTATTTATATGCGGGGCTTTCGGAAACTGTCGAACCTCCTCGTAACGGATACGCACTCAGTGTCGTGCTGCTGCTTCACGAACCTGAACCCGAACCCGAAAACAGTCCCAAAAGGTCGGGTTCGTACTAGGGATATGAGATAATATTATGTGTGTGTGTGGGGGGGGGGGGGGCGTCTGTGTGTGTGGGCAAATATGGATTCATCTCGCAGTGGATATGATAAAATGCAAAACATCACGTAACTTCCAATTTTCATATGAAAAGCTATGTATGTAATTAAAAAAAAAAAGCTGAATCTGAGAATTGCATTTGAAAGTTTCCACAGCATTGGGAAGTGTAGTTTGTATAAATACAAGTTGCAGAATAATCAGTTAACTTTTTCATTCTATTTAAAGCTCACAGTTTTTTGCTTGTAAATAAAAAAATCATACTAGCATATTAAAGGAATAGTCCTGAGGGTATTAGAATGCGTTTTTTTTCTTTATTTGCAAAATAAATAATCTAAATAAATATCCCAAGGCATCATTTTGTAAATTCATTCACAACACTAGACTTTATAGCCCTTTTTATCTAGCATTTTTGATCCTGAAATCCGTCTGCTACAAAATGTTGCCGGTGGCGCCTCCATACGGGTGTGACGTAGTACCGTGTATATGGGTCAGGAGATCAGCCATCATTGTGCATTTATTGTGACAAATTTCAATTTCTGGTGACAATTTTAGCCCGCAGGGAACTACCAAACGACGGAGGAAAGATGGCGGCACTCGAGAATTGGATGCGCATAAAGTTAACCTATTCGCGCCGGGTAAAAATGAACAAAAAATGGGGAAACTGCTATGCTCATTTTTTATATTTTTTATGAAATTTCTCTACACTAGATGGCTCTGCCTTACCTGATTTCACCTTTAATTGAATTGGCGGGAAAATGTAATTTTACTAGTGCTATGAATATCGATAGTTATTTTTATTATAAACATTATAATTACTATAACGGTATAAACATTAGTAACAGCAAAATAAGATAACGCAAAATAATTTCGTAAATAAAAGAAAAGGGTAAACAGGCGAGACAAGCAGTACAAATACAAGTGGAGCCATCTATGTGTGAAAACCATTAAACATCGTGAATGGGTTAATGAAGGAGGAAGACGAGTCGTCAGATTCGGCCTATAACATGGCTCAAATTGGTATCCTTTCACCAATTCTCCTCCTACTTCCAGCTCCCTATCTTCTAGTTCATCACCAGTAAGATCTATTGATTCTGTAGACACAGAATCAATAGATCTTTCACTTTCAACTTCACTGGAACTGCTGTAATCTTGTTGCTCGCCATGTTGTTGGACAATGGCTATACAAGGTATGACGTCACGCGACGAGGTGGCGCCACTGGTCGTTTTTGAGGCAGACGAATTTTGTGGGCTTACAAAATCATGTTTATTTTTATTATCCGGGTCTAAATTTTCAATTTGATTTTATTAATGGATAAATATTAACCTAGGCCAACTGTGGATGCAAAATAATGCACCAGTTCTAGGCTATTCCTTTAAGCATTTCATGGATTTCTATTGACTTTATGTGAAATTAAGAAAAATAACCTTTTTTTCAAAACTTTGTATATCTGTACAAATAATGTCAATGTATTCAGGATGCCACAAAAAGGCCATACGTGTGTTGTCTTTTAGGTGTGTGTGCATAATATATATTATATTCATAAAGAAAGAGAGACGTGTGTGTGTGTGTGTGCGTATAAACAGATTATACATCACAAAAAACGCACAGTATACATATACACATATAAGCACATATTATATCCTGCCCACATCAATCTTTCCGCACGACTTACTGCACTGCTCGTGTTTAAGCCCCCCTTCCCCCCACTGCCCCCGCTAGGACCTGCGCGACACCATGTCCGAGGTGCGGCGAGCGATTCTCGACGCGGAGAAGCAGCGGCGGCGGCCGAGGCACTGCCGCGACCTGCAACTCGGCGGCGACTCCGAGTCGGGCGTCAGGCGCGTGTTCCCCTTCCGCGACTCGCCTGACGCGGCTGCGACCGTCTACTGCGACCAGGAGACCGACGGCGGCGGCTGGACGGTGATCCAGAGGCGGCTCAAGCTCCCTGTGAGGGAGGACTTCTACCGCACGTGGGTCGAGTACGAACTCGGCTTCGGCCACATGGACGGCGGCGAATTCTGGCTGGGCCTCGGCCTCGTGCACCACCTGACCTCGACCGGCCTGCAGGAGATGAGAATCGACCTCACGGACTACGAGGACAACGCGAAGTGGGCCAAGTACGGGGTCTTCCACCTGGGGGACGCCAGCACCAAGTATCGGCTGAGAGTCGGCAGGTAAACAAGCTGTACGGACTGCAGTATACAATGCGAGTTTCCTTGACCTACAAGTGTTAAGTCATCTGCCTTTACTGCCTTTCTGTGTATATATATATATATATATATATATATATATATATATATATATATATATATATATATATACTAAATCTACTTCACTAGATTCGTTCTCAAGTTATATCACATACATGAACACGGGATTACTGTGTATTCACCATTATTAACTTCTTATCTTGGAAAAAAAGTCTTGAAAAGTCTCGAACCAAAGATCATGCGCTGAGAAGTGCATTTCCATATACAAAGTAATTAAAAGAAAAACTAATCACCAGATACAGTGGCACAGCTGGCGATGGCTTCGGCAATGATCACAACAACCACTCATTTTCCACGTACGATAACGCCAACAACGGCTATGATGAGAACTGTGCGGTCAGGTGAGTGAGACGAGGAACTACTCCCTTATGTACTGCAGTTTGCCACGAAGGTCTATTTCTCTTGAAAGCAGTGGTTCCCAAGCACTGGGTCGCGATTTCTAGTAGTTTTGGAAGGTTAGCAGGTGGTCGCAAGCCTGCCTTGGGAAAAAATCTTGCGGGTGAGTTTGCTAGGCGTTGGTTAGTGTTTATATTAAGAAGCCATATTAAGTCTTATGATCAATGTAGTTTTTAAAATTAGGCACATCAACATTGCTGTTCTTCTTTATTTTTCCTAAAAGTATGTTGGAAAAAATGGTAATAGAAGGGCAGATGGCGGGGACTCGAGGATATGTCGTAAATCACAGAAAGGAAGGGATCGCAAATGTAAAAAAAATTGAGAACCGCAGACCACCCTAGCAAATTGCAATCACTATAAGGAGAACAGAACCTTAGGGTAAATTGCAGTCATGAGAGAAAACAGACTATTGTGTAAAACTGCAATCCATAAGATGCAGTTTGCCAGCAGGGTTTGCTTCTCTTGAAAATTGCTGTTTGCGAAGAGGGTTTGTTTTCCCTTTAAATATTGCAATTTTCACTGAGTCTGCCTTCTCTCTAAGGATTAACGATAAGGATCTGTTTCTGTATTAAACATACAGTGTGCCTAGATCTGTTTTCCCTACGAGGATTGTAGCTTATCTCAAGGGTATATTTTACCTCAAATGATTACAGTTTACCTAGGGCTGCTTTGCCCATAAGGACTGAAGTTTATCCTTAAGGTTGGGTGCTCCTAAGGAGAAGTAAGCAACCTTTAGCAGTCCATTTATCAAAGTTTAGGTATCACCATTTCCGTTTGAAGCCTGTTCAACCAGAATGTGAAACTGACTTTTCCCTAAAGCAGGGGTTCTCAAACTGGGCGTAACGAGACACTTGCTAATGTAGGCCTGTGGAATAAATTGATAAATAATATTTAAGAATTAATAATATATCAATGATAAAATGAAATAACCTATGTATTATTGATCATGGACAGTGACACAGCAGCAAAGCACGAAAATCTTGCATGAAGAGAGACTAAAACCTTGGAATTGGATTATCAATGTCAAGCTGAAAGAGTTTAATCATTTTAGACCAAATTAGCGAAGGAATATCTTATGCTTTCTGAGGGCTCTCAATGTGCTCATCCCTTATCTCACAACTCACCATTGCGAGACTGGTGGTTCGGCTTCATTAAGTGTAAAGATGTAGATGCTAATATGGGATGTACACTGTCCTCTATAGCCCTTGCATTGAGATTTTATTACTGGACAAACAGTACCATGTTTCACGTTCATAATGTAATAATAATGTCTATTAATTCTCAGAGAAAGAGAATGCACTGTAATAAAAGGAGCAATGCATTAATGTAATTTAATTTCTGATATTGGAGTAATGTCTAAGTGCTTCATTTGTTGAATATAATTAATGCGATAGATCTAAAACGCTTAAGAAATTAAACATTCCAATATTTTCCAATTATGACACTACCGGGATTAATGATACCAAAAAAAATGGAACAGCTCTCTTAGTCATAAATAAAAGGATAAGGATAAGTCCGATATGCGAAGCTTATTAACCTCGCCCGGGCTATGGGGGAGCCCGGCCTGTGCCGACTAATGTCGACTCGCTAACAGTGTGTCAGCAGGTGCTGACTCGAATGAGCTTAGTCCTTACCCGCCGTGGTGCCCAGCCACAGCAGTAACCTCCAGGCGACAATTGCAACTTCTCGCGACTAGCCCGGAGGCTATAAATAAAAGAGGGGAAATGATGATGATGATTGTGATTTGCGAAGTTCTAGCTTCGCCCGGGCCTATTGTCTTCTAATCATTATAACATCGAATGAATTCAACAGAAACATTAATCTATCAATTTCTAGCATCTCAAGGCACATCCTGATTGGCTAAACTCGGTGACGTCATTTAGCATCGTCCTCCTTGCCACACGTGTCAATCTTTACGATCTATTGCGATTATTATTTTTTAAATGGGAAAAAGACAATTGAAATACAATTAGTATTTATTGTAAATAATGTCAGTTGAGCAGAGATTAGCTCGGCAGTTAGCAACTAGAATTTTCAGTGAGAGGTAACGCAGAGTATTCTTTCTACTAGTACTATGGCATAATTTCAAAAGTCAAAATACATTGACATGGAACTTACTTCACAACCACAAGTGGGCCAAAGGTTAACTATTCAAGTGTTCTATGCATCAGACGAGGATATATTTCTCCACTTCTTCGCCTTCTCTTCTTTGTAGGTATCGCGGTGCTTGGTGGTATGACAAGTGCCACATCTCCAACCTGAACGGTTTTCCTTATGAAGGCGACCATGAGAGCTATGCGGATGGCATCGAGTGGATACCCTGGAGAGGATATCATTACTCGCTAAAAACTACAACAATGATGATAAGGCCAGCATTCTGAAGCTTCTGCTGCTGCTACTATTACTACTACTACTACTACTACACACACACACACACACACATACACCATACCGTGTACATAAACACGATTTGTGTAAGCTATTAAACATAGACCGCGTGGCTGTTTGCCACGTAGCTCGAAGTCCAGTAAAGAACCAGCGCCTCAGCGAGGACTTAGATGACGAGTATATTTGACTTTGTTTGGCCTCTCAGACGTGCCCCAGCACTCGCGGGCTCAGGTCATATCACCAGACCCCCGCCCCCACCAGGACTAGTCCAGACTCGTCTCGTGTGTTACCATCACTGTGCTGCACTCTTCCATAATAAAGGGTCAAGCCGTTATAGAACCACTATGTCTACCCCAGCAAACCAGTGTTTAATGGCCCCTCTATATGCCTATTACACACACACGCATTCTGTTGATATTAACTGTATCAAAAATAGTTAGCAGTTATCATAAGCATAGGTGTTAGTTTGGGTATTCCAAATACATGGCTACAAATGTAATTCTTTAAATGGTTATTATGAAGTTTAAAATATCTGTATTCCGAAAGTAAACATCAGTATACCAATATATTTACTTCCTTCTCTGTTACCCAGACACGAGAAACGTATATTTTCATTAAAAATATTAAGACAGTAAAAAAAATGTTTACCTGATGTTTCTCTGTGCAATGGAAAATTGGTTTGGCATAGTATTAGAATAACACGTATTAAAAACGTTTTAGAACAACGAGGCAGGTTCCGTGTCAACAGGACAAAACAGTCAGACCAAAATCCTCATCCGGTCTGGTCTAACACAAAATGTCAGATGTGGAAAGACGCCCAATATTATCTGTCTTTATGTCTATTTGCATTTTTTCAATTAATTGGGATTTTTTTTTCAGCCGAATTTCAAGTTTAAGCTATGGAGGCGAAGTTAAATTTCCATTCAACTCATTCAAATATTTATTCAATTTTGTGACTCTTCATTTGGCTATTTAAAGAGTACTTAAAATCTGTTTTATAATGAAACGCACGTGAAAATGGTACAGGATTATACAGAATTGTGAAAACTTAATGTTTAGGCTCGGAAACATTGTATGTAATTTTTATAATACAATTTTTTTTATCAAGAAACATAAGATTCGGTTCGCAATTAATCAAAATATAAAATCCTTAAATTAGACTACATGATATATATATCTATAAAATACCGTGCTCTGATTGGTTGGCCGGTGTGTATCACATTGTATCAAGGCATACGAACTGATACAAACTAAAGAAATGTTTTAATAGGTTCCAATGATATATCAAAATGTGAGAAGTTTCAAAGATGCTACAAAAAACCTTGTGTGTGTGTGTGTGTGTGTGTGCATATGGACTCCGACCCTCTTGGGCCCGGGTTCAATTCCCCGTCGCGGCAGTCGTAAAAATGCCTGCGCTCTGACTGCTACCTCGAGCCCGAGAAAACGACATATCGCCTTGAGAAGTCAAACGCAGATGTCGTAGGGGAAGTCACCGCCGTGGCACAAGTGTTAACGCGCTGAACCGCGGTTGATTAGGAAGGGCATTCAATCAGGCAAGGGTGGCATTGCCATATAACCTCTCAATACTGAATTGAGAGAGGCCTATGCCCTGCAGTGGAATGAATGGCTGTTGAAAACAAAATGTGTATATATATATATAAATATATATATAAATATATATATATAAATATATATATATATATATATATATATATATATATATATATATATATTATATATATATATATATATAATATATATATATATATATAATATATATATATATATATATATATAATATATATATATATATATAATATATATATATATATCTATATATATATATATATATAGATATATATATATATAATATATATATATATAATATATATATATATAATATATATATATATAGATATATATATATATAGATATATATATATATATCTATATATATATATATCTATATATATATATATAGATATATATATATATATATAAAGATATGTATATATATATATATAAAGATATGTATATATATATATATAATATATATATATATAATATATATATATATATATATAAAGATATGTATATATATATATATATATATATATATTATATATATATATATATAATATGTATATATATATATATATATAAATATATATATATATATATATATAATATTTACATACACAGAGAAGTAAGGATGTATGTATTTAAGGAAAACAATATTTCTTTTGTTACATTTATTGACAATCAAACTTAAAAATGTAACAAAAAATATGGAAATTAAAGAGGAAAAAAATGATTACTTCCAGTAACGAAATCATACAATCATAAAGCTAATCTTCAACTGTAACCTGATTACTATAATAAAATAAATATTAGGAACTCAACAATAACTTTATAATTACTGCAGTCAAGACATAAAACCTATAACAACATGAAACTATAATTTCATTAATAACTTCATAACTACAATGAACAAAACTGATTTGTTTTCCCACTGCAATACCCGCACTTGAAAAGAACTTTACTTTTACAAAACAAATCATCACTAACTTTATAACTACAAGAATAGCATTGATGAAGGTTTTACCCAACAGGTAAATAACCAATGAATAAGTTTTACTGTAAGTAGTTGACTTTTTTTTTTTGTCACTAGAACAAACAAATTTACGATTCCTGAAGCATTTGTTTTATTACACACTGTTCAAGTGACTGTTTTCTGTACTTACCAATATTGCTATTATGATATATAAATATTAGTAATTCTGGTGATCTGAAAATCATGAATTATCTGAGTTGCTTTACAAGTAATCAGACATCATAGAATCAACAAGAGAACAACAGTAAAATCATGGGTTAATTCTTCGGTTATGGCAATTGGTCCTTCAAAGACAATATCTATATCTTCATATTCGTGTGATGAGAACGAATCTAATGATCCTTTTCGTCGTTATCACAGCTGATACCCTTGATGTGATAGCCCCGGTAGCAGAGGAGGGCATGAAGTCATCGGCGCAGGGGCATTTAAAATTTAGGGGGGGCTGCAAATTTTCGGCCCGAGTGAAAGAGGAAGAGAAATTTCACCTGCCAGAATATTTGTGATGAATGCCACCAGTGGCGTAGATAGAGCGGGTCGGGGGGGGGGGGGGGGGGGCGAAAACCCACCTATAAGGCTAAACTGCCATTTTGTCGGAAAATTTCTGCACTTGTCGGAAAAATAACGATGGTTTTCTGTTTCGTTTAGTTCTAGTGGCCTTATGTTATGTTTGAAATAATAAAAAATGAGAATTAGTGTCAAATTTTTGTCGGATATCTTCATTTCTCGCCCCCTCTATGAATTTTCTTATGTACGCCCCTGCCCAAAATTGCCCGAATTCAACCAGCATTTACCCGACTGGGGGCGCTGCAGCCCCCCCAGCCCCCCTGGCTCTTACGCCTATGCATGAAGTATATTTGGAAAAAAAACAGGCTGAAATAGAAAGGAAATTGAAATATAACAAATATTCGTAAAACCACGAAAAAAAAAACAATACAATACGTACTAACCAAAAGCCTAACCTTAACCTAACCCCATGGGACAGATACACTACACTAATTATATCGTCCCTACCCAAGGGGCTCGTCTACTGGACCCCCTTGCGACTTAAACAATACTCAAATTGCGACTTAAACAATACTCAAATTGCGACTTAAACAATACTCAAATTGATAAGCCTCTCTCTCGGAAGCTCGACCCCCGTGAAAACCATGTACCCAACCTGACTGCCTTACGGATGAGGGATACAGTTTCGCATCAAATAGGATTTCAACTTTTTTTCTCGGTATATATTGTAGATTAATAAGTTACTTCTACGAATAATTTGTAAAATCTACTCGCTGAAAACTACATACCTATATATATAGCGAAACACCAAACTTTTCTTCACTTTCGTCTACCCTCTGAAGTGCTTTGTTTCTAATCACCTTTTTTCGGTATTTACGGCAGTTGATGAGATCAGATATCAAATTGTGATAGTTATACTCCTATATAACGACTATACTGTTATTTTAAATGACCGGGAATCGACGCAACACTGAAAATATAACATTTGTTAAGGAATGGAGTCGCCTGGCAAAAATCCCACTGGCGAAATGAACATACGCTGATGGTTATTGCAGAGAATTGCGGAAATAACAGTTAAAATGCGTTAAAGAAGTATAATAATGATAGCAATAATAATAACAATAATAATAATAACAATAATAATAATAATGATGATGATTATAATAATGATGATAATGATAATAATAATGATAATGATAAAAATAATGATAATAATAATAATAATAATAACAGAATGGATTAAATAGATAAATTACGAAAAGCAGGTGTTGATAGTTACAAAATAATCGTTTACACAAGCACGTAGTAATACATAAACTAATTAGCAAGTCTGTGTCCTGTTTATCCTCAATGGAGAGAGACTGGGGGGGGATGAGGCGACCTTCACTCTTCTGTTATATATTTCCTTTGTTTTTGATTTGTGCAGGAAATGCTATGGATAAAAAGTGTCTCATTTTTCGTTAAGGTATCTATTCCATGCACTGTTTAGCCTGAAATCATTATTAAAAAATCGTGCACAGATTTAACCTTTTGAATTGCGCAGTAATCTCTCATCAGGGAAACCACATTCATAAATTCATAGATTTTCATAGCCAATTTCCGTCTTCCTTCCACTGTAGTGAGAAACTGTATAATATTGTAAGCGAGAAAAATGTGTACCAATTTTTTTTTTTTTTTTTTTTTTTAGTGTGTAAAAGGAAAAGAAAATACCGACATTTTCGTCCGTGCTCGAATCGTTCTGGAGGCTTGTCGTGGGGGCTGATTCTCCTCCTTAACGGCCTTCGTGGGTAGCGGTCGGGCAGCTGGAAGTCATCTTGAAGATCTGGACTTCGTTTGGAAATCTTCATGCAGTGGGAGCATGTCGGTAGCAGCTCTCATCTTTGGGCTTCTTGTCCGTGAGAAGTTATAGGGGAACCGGCAAGGAGGTGACGCCACTGGAAGGAGACGCCATAATAGTTGCTCGAGTTGGTGGATTTTGTTTAAGTTTTTTTCCCCCCACCCCCCGTTTATTTGCATGGATAGTTCAGTCTGTTTTCTGATTTATAACGGTTAACTTGTTTTGTGTTCCCAGGGTAGATTTAATTTGATTTGCGCGTTGTGTTGATTGTTGTTTCCAGTGGAAGAGGAACAAGGCCCTGAGAGCTCTCCCATTCTAGCAGTTTCCAGAATGCAATTTCTTTATCCATGAGGGATATGGGTTTATCAAAATTACAAATAGAGATGTGGAATAGAGGGTGGAATTCTCAGTCCCATACGCTTCAGTCTCCTCATAGAGCAACTTGTACAGGTTCCTTGCTGAACCCAAACAACACAATACACCTACGCTGATGATTTACAACTAATAACCCCAGGATCACGTCAGATTCTATATGCCCAACATGTCCTCAACCTAATAACCAGCTCATGCAATTCAACAACTAATAACCATAGGACCTCATCAGATTTTACATGCCCAACATGCCCACGACCTAACAACCAGTTCATGCAATTCGATCTCAAAATCAACCCTGCCAAATCCTCTGCAATACAGATTGGTCCCTCCAGACCATATAACCTTCTCTCCAGTTAAGGCCTGAACACTGAATGGACAGGTAGTGGAAGATGTCTAGGCCACATCTCTGAACGCCGTCATGAAAAAAGATCAAATAGCACCTGAAAATATGCCATGAAAAAGCTAACCTCAGCCAAAGTCGGAGCAGGCTACAAAATTCTTCACGCCCTTTATATCCAGGCCTAACACCCAACCTGCTAGAAACAATACAAAATGAAGTCGTGAACACTATCCTTAGTATACCATGCTGGACAAGACTAAATAATCTCAGAGCTGAATCGAACCTGTGCTCCTTGGAACTGAGGAATTGCAACCTCCTACCTTGCCAAAGCGTTTTCCTCACCCATAACCACTAATTTTTAAAAGCCGCATCCAAAACCCTGCTCTCAAGACCTCAAGACACCAACCCCAGAAGGGCAGTTTCATATTATTGTTGTAATCATACAATCATGAGTCGGACACCAGTTTGCTCAAAGGAATCCCAGCCTCATCCCAGTATAGTTCCAACCCTCCCTGGCTCCCTCTTTCCTTCCAGACAAACATCCTCATGCTACCCAAAAAGAAATCACTCTGTGACCAAATCACCCTAAATAAAGATGCCTCTGACATAAGTAAAATCGAAACGGTAAACAGACTTGAAATTCTCACTGACGGATCCACTGACACAAACAGACAGAGCTGTTCGTCACTGAGAATGCTACAGTAAAACCTGAGAAAACCGGACCCTGAGAAAACCGGATCACTGTCCATTCCGGACGATATTCTCAGTCCCTTCCCATTTCAATAGGCGGCCTGTGTTAAAAGCCCACCCTCTCCAAACCGGATCACTGTCCAAACCGGACATTTTTTACAGTCCCATGGGTGTTCGGTTTTCTCAGGTTTTACTGTATATAACACGCCCTCTCCACACCACATTAAGAAGTAAACAGTGCCTGCAATCCAAGCCCTAAACAAACCTCTAGACGAAAACCTAGCCTTAATAACAAAAAAAATGAACATCAGACATCTCCATTCCCAGGTCTCCATGCTCACTTCAAATTGGAATCGATGCCATATAAGCATTCGTGGAAATTAAGTTGACCGGGCAACGTCCGACGCTACCCGCTTTGACAGAGTAAATGCATGCATTCGTCCCAGCTGCATCCAACTCAAAAAAAAAAAAAAAACATTAACAAACGAAATATCCTCACCACTACCAGAAACCAACACGATCTGGGTTAGAAGAAACTCCTTTAGCGAAATGGCATAATGCTGTCACCTCCAATGACCCCCACCCCCCCATCTCATGCCCACTGCCCAGAAAAAAAAACAGTAATCGTATTTCATCTCAGGCTTGGACACAGATGCAACTGGGAGATAGCAGAATGTGTTCAAAGGGAATGCACACACTCTAACCAAAGCAGCTCAGACCACTCCTGCACTATCTCCTCTCCTATCTAGCCTTGCAAAATTCACGACCAGCAGAATTCTTGCTGCAATAACAGACCTCCGCCATGCAACTACACTTGCCCAATCTTGTTAAAATACTTTTGGAAGACGACATTCAAGAACTCTTTGACAAT